ACTTTTAAATGTTCTTTCGTACAACGATCACTACTGAACTACGCGGATGTTACCGACAAACAATACTTTTCAAAAGTTCAAAAGTCTCTTTTTTTTCACTGTTAAATTTATGTTTAAATAAATCAATTGACCCCACACCTGACACCAACTGTACCGTTTTTAAATAAAACGAGCGGTTTCGAATTTATATAAATATATTTATTTATAACTTTACAGTTCGGTATTCTCTTATCAACTAAACTTATTCCTAAGATCGTTACATATATATACTAAAGTTACTATTTTCTAGAAAGTTCCCACCTCTAGGCGAACGCGACTGATCTTTCTCGAAATATCGAGTCGCTTTCGAGATGCCGCCGCGCTGCATGGAAGCATGAGGTGCACGTGCATAAATGCACGTTCGTAACAATACAAAGAACTAGATCGTCTTAAGAAATCAGAATTATTGGAAATACTTATTCACAAAAAGGTTCCCGAAGGAATAAAAATTAGTGAAAGTGTCAAGAATGTTTTGGAGACCAGTGGATCTTCTTGTTGCGATGTGAAACTGTGCAATAGTGATTTGAGGTTAGAACTCACTCAACTACAGTGCAAGTTAAAGTGTGCCGAGATTGAGATTACTTACTTAAAATCGTTAAATACAGAGCTAGTAAAAGGTAATGAACATCAAGATTTAATTATTTCTTTATTAAAAACAAATTCAAATAAAAATATTGAACATAAACAGACTACGGCCAACGTTGCCAATCCTACTATCGTGGGACTAAAACCACCTAAAAATTCAAATGCTGTAGCTAATAATCGTAGTCGTAGTAAAAGTCAATCCACGTCTACTGTGGAAGCAGTACTTCCAGCTTCAGTTGATTTAGGAAGTAATGAGTGTCAAAAGGCCCAAGAAAGTATTATGTCATCTGTAATAAATCTTACGAAAGAAGCCACAAATGACGAAGCTCCATGGCAGAAAGTTCAAGACAGAAACAAAAGAAGAAGACAGTTAATTGTTGGAACTGGTGCTGGCTCTGTAAAAGGTGTTCCAAAATATGTGGATCTACATGTGTATCGCATTCATCCTAGCACCAATGTGACTGCAATGGAAAATCTTTTGAAACCCCATTTTCCAGAAGTGCTTTGCGAGTCTATGGAGTCTCGCTACCCAAGTCTTTACTCATCATTTAAGGTCCGAATATATCAAAATAATTTCAATAAAGCTATGGATCCAGCACTCTGGCCTGAAAATGCATGTGTAAATAATTTTTTGTACCTACGGAAAAATCAGAGGTCCCAGAGGTAATGTTTAACACTAAATTAATGTTATTAAATGTTCAAAGTATAAATAACCATAAAATATGTGACATTGTTGTGGATATTAATACATTTAAAAATATAGAAATCTTATGTCTAACAGAATTATGGGAAACCATTGACTCCATTAATAATGTATACATTGATGGATTTACTATGAGTAGTAATTATTGTAGAAACTCTTTAGTAAGAGGAGGTGGTGTAGGAATATTCGTAAAGAGAAATGTAAACGCTCATAATATTAATGTTAAAAAATTCTGTTCTGATAAACATTCAGAGTTTTGTTGTTCTTTAATTAGGGATAAAACAATAATACTTTACATAATGACAACTCCGTTAGATATAAATTATTTTAAATAATCTTGACTGTCTTTTAAATCATTTATACAAGCCAAATGCATGTTATATTATTTGTGGTGACTTTAATATTGATATGAAAACGTCAAACAATAACCAAACAAAACTACTTAATTGCTTATCTGCTTATAACATAAATACTAATCTTGTCAAATGGCCTACAAGAGTAACAAATACCAGCATAACAACAATTGATAATATCTTTATAAATTTTTCTAATTTAGGTACATCATGTATTCTTGACAACACTGTGTCCGATCATAGAACTGTTTTAGTTGAACTTGAAATCGATATATCGACCTTGCCTATGTCTTGTCAAAAGCGATATTTTTCTGAGAGTGGGATAGATAATTTTATTATGGGTCTTGTGATGGAAGATTGGAATCTTGTTTACGGTATACTTGATACTAATTTGGCTTTTAATGTGTTTGTTGATACTTTTTTGTACTATTTTAACATTAATTTTCCATTGCAAAATAAACGTATCATAAATGATCGTAAAAAATGGGTAAACACCGAAGTACGCTTATCTAGTGGTAACTTAAAAAACTTGCATGTTTTATCTAGATCCTGTCCGTGTCTTCGTGAATATTACAAGTTAGAAAAAAAGAAACACCAGAAACTTTTATGTTTGACAAAGAAAAATTATTACCAAAATATTATTTCGTCATCAGATAATCCTACAAAAAGTGCCTGGAGACTTGTTGCTGACATGACTAATAATGTTAACAATAATGGAAGGAAAAATATATGCCTAAAATCAGAAGAAAATTGTGTAATAGAGGAATGCCCTATTGTTGCTAACATGTTCAATGTTTTCTTTAAAAATGCTCCAATTGAGGTACGTTCGAAAATTCCCAGTCATCAAAATAGTACTTTGAGGAAACCGCCTTCTAATGAAAATAAAAATTTTTTACAATTATATCCTTACACTCCAAATGAGCTGAGTGAATTATTGATAGGAAAATTGAAATCTTCAAAATCGTCTGGATTTGATGAAATACCTCAATTTTTATTAAAAAAAGTAATTCCATTCATACTATCACCTTTAACATTTCTAATAAACTTGACTTTTTGCAATGGTATTTTCCCGGATTATCTAAAGGTGGGAAAAGTCGTTCCTGTACATAAGAAAGGTGATCCAAAGGATATTAGTAATTATCGCCCAATAACTGTCCCTTCAGTATTTTCGAAAATATTCGAATACTGTTATCTTAACAGATTAAACTCTTATTTATTGGAGAACGGTATTATTAGTAAATGTCAGCATGGCTTCCAGGCAGGTAAGTCTACAAACACAGCAGTTCATTCATTTTATGAGACTTTAACTAACTATATTGATGCGGATGAATGCCCTGTCGGAATTTTTTGTGATCTCAGTAGGGCATTTGACTGTGTAGATCATACATTACTCATTAATAAGTTAGAAAATATTGGAATAAAAGATCTCTCTCTAAAATGGATAGAATCCTACCTATCAGAACGTCGTCAGTATGTCTCCTTAACAGATTTATCCCAGCACTCAGAAAATGTTTGCAAATCAGATTATATTTACATTAATATCGGTGTTCCGCAAGGTTCTGTAATTGGCCCAATATTATTTCTTATTTACTTAAATGATATTGTCTCAATAAATTCTGCTGTACAGTTTACACTTTATGCAGATGATACTTCAATACTTATATCAGATAAATCACAAATATCTCTTGAAAATAAATGTAACGAACTTTTGTGTGATCTTAGTTATTGGTTTTCCTCAAATTACTTACATCTTAATGCGGATAAAACGCATGCTATTCACTTCCACAATAGACAGAAACATCTGTTAGATATCGAACTATCAATATATTCCGCACAAATTGAAAAAGTTCAATGCCTAAAGTTTTTGGGTTTGTATGTTGATGAGTGTCTCAATTGGAAAAGGCAATGTGATGATATTATTTCCAAAATAAACTCAGCATGCTACCTACTTCGAAACCTCAAAGATACACTAAGTGAAAAACAGCTAATTATGCTGTATTATGCTCAGGTGGAGTCTCGTTTGCGGTATGGCATAGTATTTTGGGGTACGTCTTGTAAATTCAGTGAAGTCTTTCTATCTCAAAAAAGAATAGTCCGTTGTATTGCTGGTATTTCTCGAATAACTAGCTGTAAGAGTTATTTTACTAGATATAAACTTTTAACTGTACCATGCTTATATATTTTTGAAATCTGTGTTTTTATTCATTTAAATCTTGATAAATTTAAAACTAATAGTCAAATTCACAATAAAAATACAAGGCAGAATCAAAAATTGCATGTGCCTTTTTCTAAAGGAAACATGCATTTTTACTCACCTGCAATAATAGGTCAAAGAATATATAATAAGTTACCCGAGCCAATAAAAAAATGTAAGAATATGAAAATATTTAAATTAACTTTAAAAGATTTTTTATGGCAGAATACGTTTTATTCTGTTGATGAATATTTTAGTAGTTGACATTATTTTAAGTATATGCTTGTAATTTTACATTTTATATTTGTGTTTGTAACCTTAGGTTTAGCGTAATTTTAGATTTACATTTATATTTAGTAAGTTTGTTTTCTAAACTGTGACTGATCCTATACAAATTGTATTTGTCAAAAAGGAAATAAAGTATTATTATTATTATTATTAAATTTCAAATAGTTTACAGTATAAACTACCGAGCTACATTTTAACCTACTTAATTTCGGAAAAATAAATTTTAGATGAAGCTAACCAAAGTAAGGTTCGAAACCATCGTGAAAATTATTATTGTTCTACATTTAGATATATTGTAACTATAATTGGAGTTAAAAGGTAATAGCTATGGGCATGAATAATTTGATGAAGATTGCTCAAGACAGAGAGGAATGGAGGCATGTTATCAAGTCGGCTAAAACCCACGAAGGGTTGTAACGCCAAGGAGTAAGTAGTAAATAATTGGAGTAGATAAAAACGAAACTCCAGGAGTGATCGAGGTCGGAAAGCATAGCTTTCTTATCGCCTACGCACGGAGCGATGGTCTAAAGTTAAATTTAATTAACTTGAATTAATTAAATTTAATATAATACAATATAATTTATTTTTTTTTTATTTAACTTATTTTATTTTATTAAGAAACACGCATGGGACTGCGTTTACTACTTCACGTAGGGTGTGGTCACTTCTTCTTTCTTTCGATGCATTTCGTCCGTAGCTCGCGATAAGAAAGCTATGTTTCCAAAAAGTATTGTCGATATTAATGAATATAATACGTATAGTATAGTAGTATATAAAGGCGGTCACGCCTAATAATACTGCTTTACTGTAAGTGAAATAACAACAAAATAGATCTTACCGACTCCAGAATAATTGGCACTCCAATGTTTAATAGGTTTAAGCCCCGACATATCCCACGCGGTAGTCCCTTTTATCAAGGAATCTTCTTGTAGTGTAGAAATGCAAGGTGGTATTTTACTCAAGTAACAAGAATCCTGCAAAATTGCCAATGATGATTTTCCGAAAACGGGATATTTGATTTTAGGACTTACTGTCATACTGTTATTTTGAGAATCATTTTCGGATATACCATAATTTTGAGATTCTTCGAACTGTTTATTACGAAATTTCATATGTTCTTTCATATTTGAAACAGTTGCGTCTAAATTGTCTTCATTTATTTTAATGTCGATTTCTTCTTCAGATTCTGGCAATTTTACTTTTGCATCACCAAGTTTTTCCTTCTCACTAATTTCAAGTGTTACATTCATATCGCCTTCTACAGTGTTATCGACTATATCACGGTTAGTTGTACTAGGGTCAGCAATTTGATGTTCATTAGATTGTATCCATTTATGCTCCACAGCTTCCTCAACTGGTTCTTTCGTTTGCATTTCATAAGACACTTGATTGTTTAATGCTTTGTTTTCATTAATTTCGATTGCAATATGTTCCTCCTTGAGTTTATATGGATCCCTGTCCAATTCTCTTTCTTTTAAATCATTTTTAACCTCTTGATTTTTCTGTGCTTGTGGAGAAATCCAAAGCGACTCTCTAATTTTGAACATATTTTCCTTTTTCTTTTTGACTGCTCTCTTAGCCTTCTCATATTTTTCCTTTGAAGAAGGAGTATTGATGAAGAAGTATTTGGTAGTTGGTAAAACTGTATCTGTTTCAATTGTGTCTTTGTTGGTTTGAATATCATCTTCAATACCTGATGAGGACCTTGAGACGACCTACAAAATATGGATTGGTTATTATTCATTAATAAAAAAGTGTAATTTCCTAAAATAGGTCGATTTTTATTTCAAAAAGATTTTATAACGATATAAACATCTGGCGTTTCTCAACCTCCTCCATTCCAATACCACAAACCCTTAATTTTAAATAGGGACTAGACCATGTGTGGCACATTATTAGAAAGGTATTTCGATGGATAATTCAGGCACCCACGGTCTTTCTTTCCATATTAACCCTTGCCTTGTGAAAAAGAATCGATTTATTAAAAGTGTTATACCTCTTAAAAAATAAATGTAACACCTATGTTTGGTTAATAGCAATGATAATTTTTTTCGTCACGTCAAGAATTACCTACATTAAAAGAAATTCGCAAAAAGTTTAGTTCTTAGAGAAGGAAAGACAGAGGACAGGTAACACTCATTTAATAAAGCTTCGAAAAGTGAAGCCAGTTTCGATGTGACCGCCATGTTTTGATGCCTGTACATTGCCCTTTACTACCGCAGGGTTGCCAGGCTTACTAATTTGTTAGTATATCTACTGATTTCAACTTCAATTTACTGATTTACTAAAAAACTATATCGATCTACTAAAAATATGTAATGATAAAATTATGTTCAAAAAGTGATCGTTATGTCAGTATTCAATTATAACTTTTGAAAGAAATCTATTTATTGATATGCATCCATTATTCTCAACCTACTGAAGAAATAAAATATGCGATTACGCGTTCCCTCTCCTTCCTTGTCTAAGGTTTAGTTAGTCAAACTATTTTTGGTAACCTTTAAGGGCGAAATAAATATTTTTTAAAATGGGAAGTGTGCAAGAACAGAGAAATTATTTAACCAACTTCATCAAAATAAACATACTTATGTGTATTAAAACTAAAATACCTATTAAAAATATTCACAAAATATACATCCAACTCTCACTGTAAATCGACACAATTGTGGTAATTGGGCTGATGAAAATCCTAGATACACATACCCAACAGCCACTGAAATTGGGTAGGAATTTATGGGGAACATATTATTTTTCTTTTTGCAACAAAATTTGGATGTACAAGCATATTTAGAATTATTAGAAGACACAGTTGATCCCATTTTGACAAATATAATCGAAAAAATAACAGGTATTCAGAAGATGATTTGTTTTTTTAACAAGGCGCCACACGTTCCTAAGCTTCACAATGAACGGTTTCCTAGGTAATGAATTGGATGACGACGTTTTATTGAATGACCATCAAGATTACTCGATTTAACTTCTCTGGACTTCTTCCTCTAAGGTTATTTATAAAGCGAGATTTATAATACAATTACTGCTTCATTAACTAAGGCCTACCATTGGTTGTGTAGACAATGATGATGATAATATTTGTAAAATCTGATTATGTGTTTGTAAAGTAATATATGAAAAATAATAGAAAATAGGTAATTATTAAACATCAGCCAACTTCTTGGCAAAATAAAGATGGACAACCAATATATTTATTATTATATATTACTTCTAGTATCTCCTGTGTATTCGTTTCTTGTCATTCTAAATTTGTATATAAATTGTAGCTATTGTATATCTATATATGTGATTTTCTGAACTGGGAAGTCAGTATACCACAATTGGTATTATTTATAATATACAGAAAATATACAAAACAAACAACTGAAAACACCTAGATATACTCAACATGATATTTAGACTTACCACTGTTGGAATATCAGCTTTTGCTTTATTTTCTTCATTATGTTCCTCAACAGTTGATTGACTGATGCAATCAACTCGAACTATATTGATTTTCTTTTTGACATTTGTGTCTATTGTATGCGGTGCAGGACAATTAATAGATTGGTGATCATTTGAAGAAACTTGATTACTATCCTTATTAAAACTGTCAAATGAGTCTTGTACGTTTTTGAATTGTTGAGTATAACTATTATCCTAAAATTAATCATAGGAAAATTATCAAATGTATAATTTGAGAAGACTTATGCTTTAGTTATTTTTATTACTAGAATTCACTAGCTTTTTATAATGAGTGAGTAATAAGTGTAATTAAGAATATACTGGAATCAAACCACCACTGAAAAATTGGAAATAGCTACAACGATGAAATCTCCATACAATAAGGAGTCAGACAAGGTTACATTTTGTTCCCAACATTGTTTACTCTGATCATTTTATAAAAAAGGACTTGAGAGGTAGCCATATGGAATAACAATAAATGGTGAATTACTTAATATAATTAGATAGGTAAATGACACAGTAACTCTATCAGAAACTATTGATGGACTCCAAATTCTGCTTGATCATATTCACGAACTAGGTGATGAAATCTGCATTAAAATAAACTCAAATTTTTAGTCTTTAGCCATGCAGATATACAGCCTCAATCACATTTTTATTTTAAAAAAATTCACAAAGTAACATATTAAGGAACTTATAACAGACGAACTACATCCAGACATAGAAATAAAATGCAGAATAGCAAATGACGTAAGTCACTTTTCTGAAAATAAATAATTTCTTTGCAATAACCATCTCAGTTTAGAGCTAAGACAATGAATGTTAAAGTGGCATGTTTTGCAAATGCAAATTTCTGAATGGAAAACATTCTGGAAAACATCTGGAACATATATTGAGGAGAAATCAATATAGAATACTACAACTAATTCTTAGAAAACAAAATAGAAGGTGGGACACAGAAACAAGTTTCATGGCTAAAAAACATTCACAAATGGACTGAGATACCAAATTCACAACAGCTATTATATGTGGCTAAAAATTGAGAAGCCTTTGTAATGATGCTCACCAATGTCAGATAATTTTGATACAGCGTGTGAAGAAGAAGAAGAGGTGATAAGATGAATTTGTATATGAGCACCACTTGTTACAAATGTATAGATATAGATCAATAACTTCAGCTGTATTGGTAACCTATTACAACTAACCATCATTTTTTATGATCAGACAAAGAAGTATTTTGTTGTTAATAACAGCTGAGTACTAAGATTACGTTTTTATAGTATAGTCCCACTAGTAATAATAAGTAGACATACTTGTAATTTTTTTTATATCATTGTTTCATGTGAGCCCATCTGGAAACTAATAGTTTGATTTATATGCTTTAAATGGACAAATTAAATGGATGAGAAGGAATTACAAAATGTGTATTTCCAACAACAAAAAGCATACAACCAGAGAAATGATAAAAAGTAAGTTAAATTAATAAAGAAACAGAAAAACTTACATCTTTTACGGAAGATTCACTTCTAATGGTAGGATTTTGTTCAATATATTCTTCTTTTTTTTGATGTAGGTGAACTAGGTGAATCAGGTAAAGTAGGTGAATTATAAGATATGTGGTCAATTTTTACAATGTTGATTTTCTTCTTTTTAAGATATTCATCAGTTATTGTAGGTATAGGAAGGAACTTTTTGTAAGTAATGCTGTTAGGTATAGTTGTGGATACATTTACACTAATATCTCCATTTACATCCTTTTTGTATGATCCATGAGCCACATCTGAATCTGAAACTTGCTTATTTGAGCTGTGTAAAGAGTCAACTTGTTTTCTTCTTTTTTTATATGATGTGTCCATTTGATCTTTACTACTATAATATTTATTTTCATTTTTGGTATTTTTAGATGATTTTATTTTGGATGGTTTCTCTTCTTCTTGCCTTGGACTCTGTATTTTTGTCTTGCTATCAGGTATTGTTGTAAATACATTTTTTACACTAGTATCTCCATTTACATCCATTTTACATGATCCATGAGCCCATATGGGTTAGAAACTAGTCCATTTGAGTTGGGTACAGACTCAACTACTTGTTTTGAACTTTTTTTATATAATGTGTCCATTTGATCTTTACTATGATAGTATTTATTTTCATTTTTTGTATTTTTATATGATTTTTTATTAGATGGGCTCTCTTCTTCTTGCCTTGCACTCTGTATTTCTGTCTTGCCGTCAGGTATTGTTGTAAATACATTTTTTACACTAGTATCTCCATTTACATCCATTTTGTATGATCCATGAGCCCCACATGGGTCGGAAACTAGTTTATTTGAGCTGGGTACAGAATCAACTACTTGTTTTGACCTTTTTCTATATGATGTGTCCATTTGAACATTACTAAGATGGTGTTTATACAATATTTCTGAGTGTTCCTCATTTACATTTTTGATACTTTTAGATGATTTTATTTTGAATGGTTTCTCCTCTCCTTGCCTTGAACTCTGTATTTCTGTCTTGCTGTTAGGTATTGCTGTAAATACATTTTTTACACTATAATCTCGATTTACATCCATTTTGCATAAACCATGAGCCACATTTGGGTTGGAAACTTGCTTATTTGAGATGGGTAAAGAATTAACTTGTTTTGAACATTTTTTAGATTTTTTATCCATTTGATCTTTACTATGATTGTGTTTATGTAAAGTTTCTGAGTGTTCCCCATTTACATTTTTGGAACTTTTAGATGTTTTCTCTTCTTCTTGCCTTAAACTCTTTTTAAATCTTTTCCTAGAATATCCTTCTAATAGCATTTTGAAGTTCGCTATGATCTCATCTTGATCCTCCTGGGATTCAGTTTCCTTTTTTCTCTTCTTTTTACCTTTGCCATTGTTTTCCATTTGATTTACATCATTCTTTTGTGATTTATATAGATAATTTTCATCATGGTTCTGTTCTGATAGATATTTTTCTTTTCTGTCATTTAATGAACTGTTTGATTTTCTGTTTGATGTACTAGGTATATTGTTAAGTATTTCACTAGGTATGTTGGTAGGTATTTCATTATGTTTATTGGTAGGTATAACACTAAAACAGATATAAAACATTTACAATTATACCAAATATAATAAACTTAATACAACCATTTGAAATCTTGTTTACCTCTGTATTTTACAGAAATATATTAATTTAATAATTGCCAATTTGGAGCTCTATATACACAATACACACACACACTCACATATGACTTGTATTATTTTTAATTAATTCAATATTTTTATAATACTCCATCTCCAGAGTTGTAGGTAGTAGAACATGTCTAAACATTGTTCAGTGGAATTTTCCAATGGTGGACATCAATGAACTCTTTGTGGCATAAGAGTGATCAGTGTGATACAAAGTAAGACGAACCAACTTGGATGGAAGAATGAAATGTTTTAAATTAAGGTTATTATAGGCTAGCCGATAGCAGATAAGAGTTTAAAGCTTAAAAAGAGAAAACAGGAGAATTAAGGATAAATTAGAAGTAGAGAATAGACTACAAATTATGGAAACATTCTATAAGGAAAAGAAAGTCTTAAAGGAAAGTGAGACTAACACATTAAGTGAACTAGGGAAAATACATTCGTAATAGAACTTGAAAAACTCGAAAATTGCAAATTTAATTTCCTACTTGAGGAAATTGGAGAGAATTGAAAGATAAAACGCAGACAGCAATTCACAATACAAATTATCAAGATAAACCAAGTGAAAGAAATAATCATTATGTAGCTTAAAAGATGATATAAAAACTTACCAAACAACATCATCATTACGAATTATCCTCACGTCTTCAGCAGGAGGTAAGTATTCATTGGAACTAGTTAAAATAAAATTCTCTATGCCAAAACAGTTTGCAATTTTGTGTTGTAAATCTTCCACTTTTTTAATTTTTTCATTAATAAAAATTCTTGCCCTCTGCCTATGATCAGTGAAAAATTCTGATAAATTTATAACTAGTATGAAATTATTTTGAGCCATTTTCAATGTCCGTGTAATAGAAATACATTGAAATTAAAGAAAAAGCCACTCGGTGATAACTAAAATTCAAAATATTTTAGACGAACATAACCTCACAAAACAGGATCTTCCGGTAATTTGGTTAATTTTCTGGTTTTTATTTTACACACGATACACTTATACCCACCGGTATGCCGACGCGCATCTTCAGTGACGTCACATCGATGCAAATTCTAAATCCTACCACATCCTACGTTATTTAATGTTGGTTAGGTTGAGTGTTTTTATTTTTAATTATTTATCCCATTGTGGATTTACTAATTTACAATTTTTAAATCAAATACAGTTGTAAATGAAACGGCGATATTGAGATACAAAAATACTTTTGAAAGAATTTATAAAAATGAAATTAAAAAAAATTCAATGTTAAAGTGCTTTCTATATTGAAATAAATATTCTTAAATTCCAATAACATTGAATTTTTTTTAAATTTCATTTTTATAAATTCTTTCAAAAGTATTTTTGTATCTTAATATCGCCATTTCATTTACAACTGTATTTGATTTAAAAATTGTAAATTAGTAAATCCACAATGGGATAAATTAAAAATAAAAACACTCAACCTAACCAACATTAAATAACATAGGATGTGGTAGGATTTGCATCGATGTGACGTCACTGAAGATGCGCGTCGGCATACCGGTATAAGTGTATCGTGATTTTACACGTGTGAAGTTAGTAACGTTTTTTTTTGTAAACGCAGGCGGACTATAATAAATTATTGGTGGGGTGGAAATGATAAAAAAGTATATTTTGATAAACTTTATCACAAAATGTAGGCAACAAATTTGATGTAAGGCAAAGATTTGTCATCCGCCAATAAAATATTAACTTTACCTAAGTCTAAGTAGGTACAAGGCAGATATTGAGCACAGTTTCTTTATTAAATCTTGCCCAACTACTTTCACTCTCAGAGCATCTTCAGTGGCATCTAAAATAAGCCAAGAAACAGTTTTTCAAGTGAATTAACATTAGTTAACTTCGAAAAAACTCGAAGTTAATGGTTGATAAAAAGTTTATATACCTAACGTTTTAGACTTACTTTACACACTGACTTTACTGACTTTACACAAAACTAACACTAGGTTAGTATTTTTTAATGTACATAAAATTCATCGACGTGCTGGATTGCTTACATTTTTGACGAAGTAAGTCTAAAACGAAGTAAGTCTAAAACCATAAGGACAATGATGTGCAGGGACAAAGAAGGAGATATAGTAACTCAATAGAGTGAAATACTACAAAGATGTACACAATTCTTCAAAGAAAAGTTTGAAAAAACGAAGATCCACTATATGATGGAATTATACTGGATCAAACGGATACCAGAGAAACAACCACCCCTTCATTAGCTGAAATGTAAGAATCACTGAAAAACAACAAGTCACCTGAATTAGATAACATTAGCGCAGAATTAATAAAGGAAGGTGAAGACTCCCTATTGAATCCGATACACAAACTAATAGTGAACATATGGAATATTAAACAACTGCCACAAGACTGAAATACCGGAGTAATTATCCCACTACATAAAAAGGGAGATCAGCTTCAATGTAAAAACTTCCGGGCAATAACGCTACTGACTGTGGCATATAAAATACTGTCCAATATTGTGTATGACCGATTGAGACCATATGCCGAACAAATTGTTGGGGGATATCAATGTAGTTTCCACAGGCAGAAGTCCACAATAGATCAGATCCTCGTCTTGAGGCAAATCTTGGAAAAGACCAGTGAATTTAATATAGACACACATCATCTTTTCATTGACTTTGAGAGTGCCTATGATAGCATTCATCGAGAATTTCTGATCCATACACTGAAAGAGTTTAATATTCCAACTCAACTCATTGTTGTCAAAGGCCACAAGATATTTAATAATTATTGAACAGATAAAAATAAAATTAATACTTTTTGGTAAATTTGCTATTGACGTTTATTCTTAAGTATTATTTAAACTTTGCCATAATTTTCCAAAAATGTTGTTTAAATTAGAAATTGAGCTACAAAAGTTACGATCTTTACGATATATTTTGTGATTCATTCTCTTTAGTTTAGGTTTAGTTGTAATCTTAACAAAACGGTTTTTCCTCTGATTGAAAATATCAGGAATATTAATCATTTATTTGACAAAATGCAGAAAGATAAAATGTATTGAAAATAATTATTTCTTCTGACTTAATTTCAGGTAAGGACTTAGTGAAGAGCTTTGATGCAAACCAACCGTCAATGAAAAATTTCGATTAATCCGACAGCAGTCCTTAGTTTGGTGTGCGCTCCCTCATACATATCCTTCACGAGCGATACGTACTTCTCCGGAACCCATTTTTCCCTCATACATCCCCATCGCTTTTGTCTAGGAACTGTAGCATATGCTTCTCAAGATCACTTAATATCAAATGTAGCTCTCTTTTCTTCTCGCTGTATTTCTCTATCAACAGTCTTAACGCAAACAAGGCATCCATTGTCCTTCTTCCTGGCATACACACAACTGTTCTCCTGCTATCGATGTCTCTCTTCTTAACTTTTGCTCTACAGTTCTCCCTCAAATTTTAGTTGTGTACGATATTAACTTTATCCTTCTATAGTTATTACAGTCCTGAATATCCCCTTTATCTTTATACAATGATACCATCACACTCTTTCTCTATGCATTGGGCATCCTTTCTTTCTCTCCTAGAGCCTTCCAAACCTCCGCAGATATTTCATCAGGTCCTACTGAGTTCCTCGACAATTTTATGTCTCGCTATCCCCGGTATTACATTCTCATTTGGGATCCCGTCTCTCTTAGGGTGTTATTCATTTAGCAACTTACTAAAATACTTATACCATATTTGCTTTATTTCCACATCGCTTATTAACACTTTTCCATCCGTAATTTTAATTTGCAGCAGGTAGGTCAAGTCCCTTGCTTGTAATGCTGTATAACCTTTTCATCCACTCAGATGTTTCCAACTTTTCATTTACCAGATTTTCCTAATACTTCCTCTCCCACTCTACTCTTAAAGACTATTAACAAATCTTTATCCTTTAACTTCCACCACTTTACTTTCTGGTGTCATATTTGCTTTCCTCTCCACCTTATCTTTATCTTCGTATCCGCTATCACCGGTCGGTGTTGACTAGCTACACACTCACCCTTTATCATTTTACAGTTCATAAGCTCTCTTAGTTTTTCTTCTACACAGCACAAGATCTATCTGACCTTCCTTTCCCCTGCTACTATAGGTAACATACTGGTTTTCAGTCTTCATAAAGAATGTATCAATGACAGCCAAATACCATGAAACTGCAAAGTCAATCACACTACTTCCTTTACCATTTCATATTCCCATTACAAGAAATATGGGAGACTGTTAAACATTGCGTAACAACACCAGTGGATCGCTCAAAGAAAAATAATCCGGTGAAACGGAAACACTGGATTACTGGATATCAGAGGAAACTCTTAAAATAATTGAGAATAGAAGAAATCTTTGTAAAAGTGGTGTACATATATATATATATATATATATATATATATATATATATATTATATATATATATATATATATATATATATATATATATACATATATATAGTCCCAAGATTCCTAAGAGGAACATAGGGCTTCCACAAAGTGTCTCCAGCGAACTCTATTTCTGGCTAGTGCTTTGATTTCAAGCCAGGATTTTCCCATTGTTCTCCCTTCGTCCAGTACTGTCCTTCTCCAAGTTCCCTTAGGTCTGCCTACTTTCCGTCGGCCTTGGGGATTCCAATCCAGTGCTGTCCTGGCAATGTCATTTGGCGGTCTACGGAGTGTGTGGCCCAGCCATCTCCATTTTCTTCGCCTTATTTGCTTTATGACATTTTCTTGGTTGCTTTGGTTCCATAAATTTTCATTGGAGATTCGGTTAGGCCAAAATATACGAAGGATTTTTCGTAACGCTCTATTAATGAAAACTTGTAATTGGTGTACTATGGGTGCTGATATCTTCCACGTTTCGCAGCCATACAGTAATACAGCTTTTACATTTGTGTTGAAGATTTTTAGTTTCGTTTTAGTTGGGTAAATCCTGGATTTCCATATGTTGTTAAGCATGTTGTAGGCGTTGCGAGCCTTATTTATTCTTTCATGTACATCACGCTCTGTACCCCCATTCAGTCAATTATGCTGCCCAGATATACAAATTCCGCTACTCTCTCAATTTTCTGGTCGTTGATCATAATAGGTTGGTTGTTTCTGGTACCAAATCGCATTTCTTTGGTTTTGTTGGTGTTTATTTCTAGACCAACCTTCTTTGATTCTTCTTGTACTTTGTTTACTTGGAGTTGCATGTCCTGTTTTGTATGTGCTAGGAGGCATATATCATCAGCGTAATCTAGGTCTTCCAGTCTGTTTGTTAATCCCCAGTAAATTCCTCTATTAGAGTTTACCTTTGTTAGTACGGAGTCCAGTACAATGTTAAATAGTATAGGGGATAAAACACAGCCCTGCTTTACTCCGTTTAGCATAGCTATTGGGTCAGATGTTATGCCGTTGTGTAGGATTTTGCTTTCTGTGTCACTGTAGAGTTCTTTGATGAGATTTACTATTTTTTCTGGTATTCCTATTTCCTGCAGTGCTTTCCATATGGCCGTATGTGTGAGCGTGTCAAAAGCTCTCTTGAAGTCCACAAAGCACATAAAGAGAGGAGAGTTGAATTCCTGTGACTGTTCTACAATTATTCTTAGTGTGTTAATTTGGTCCACGCATGATCTGTTTGGTTTGAAAACCGGCTTGTTCCTTCCTCAACATTGGTTCTACACTCTTTGTTAGTCGGTTGTTTATAATTATTGCTGTTAATTTATTTATAGTATTCAGAAGTGTGATTCCTCTCCAGTTTTCGCAATATCTTCTGTCGCCCTTTTTTGGTATCTTTATTATTAATCCCGTTTTCCATTCTTTGGGGAACTTTTCCTCTCTCCAAGCCCTTTTCAAGAGTGGTTGGATTAGCTCTGCCACTGTACCTGGGCAAGCTTTTAACAACTCTGGTGGAATATTGTCAGGGCCGGCTGCTTTGTGTGCTTTCAGTTTTTCT